AACCAAAGGCAATGACACTCAACTGATCTAAAGTGGAGCTCACCATCTCTCTATTCTCACCCCAAACCTGCTGCTCCCCTGAATTTTCTGTCTTCTCTGTATTTTCTATCTCCCCAAACCTGAATCAAAGGAACCATTCTGATTAGGCTCCTTTCTCTCTCTGACTCCCTGTTCTTCCCTTATCTTCACAGACTATCAATTCACTTCCTTTCCTTCTCTGCCACTGCCCTCCCAAGCTATCTCCAAGGGCTTGGACTCATCTCCTGGACTCCATTCTCACAATCCTCCAGACCAGCCTCTCCACTGACAGTCGTCATCTTTCTAACATACTCATCTGACTAAGCCTCTACTGCTCCATTTCAGCAGCTTCTCATCACCCACAAGATGAAGTCAACCTTCTCTGTTTCAGAATTACAGATCTCAGTCATCTGATCCCTGGCTATTTGCCCTGCCTTGTGTTTAGCCATTCTCTATCATTCACCCAAGCATTTGCTTGACCCCAAAGGCTCTCTTAGACATGTGCTTTATTTCTATACTGTTCTGACTTCCTGTGATGGCTTCCTCAATATGGTCTGCCCAGCGATTCCAGTTTTATTGCTACTGTGAAGCTATCCCTCACTCCCCAAGCCAAGTTCCGTGCCCCCTAGAACTTTGAGTAGACTTCACATTTGTTCTGCAGCTATTATAATTTTGTCTCTCCAGATTAAAAGTTTCTTGATGGCAAGGACATGTTTTCTTCACAGAGCTTCGCCTCCATAGCAGGCATTCAATAAATGTAGAGTGAGCAGATATCAGGATGCCCACACCTGGCAAGGAAGTCATCCCAGCACATAGCAAAACACCTTTCTCTCTCACACTGCATAAGAGAGTGACTTTCTAGTCTGGGACCTCCACTGGGGTGTCCATCAGAAGCAGCCCAGATGAAGCTTAAATGGCGCTGTGCCAGCCAGAAATGGAAGCCCAGGAGGCATGCATGCCTTCAATCACACATCAGCTCCTCCAGAAAATAGCCCTGCTTCTCCCCTTCTCTGTGTCTACCAGCCATAGCCCCAGCTTTGCAGAATGAAAAAGGAAGGTCTGAGGTTATGCTAGGTGGTTTTTAGCTTTGCATCCAACCATGTAGCATCTGGACCATGAGAAAGGACCCGAGCTTTTAGTTAGAATTCATTTCTGACCATCATCTTACAGAATCTAGCATCCAAGTAGTGGAATGAATTCCTGGCTTGGGAAGAGTCAAATAGGGAGGGCACTCAGTTCTCTGGTTTGTTTCCCCTTTAATGGTGTTTTGTTTTAATCCTTGGCAAAGGAAAGTGCCTCGCCGCCAACCAGCGAATGAAGGTTAGTAGGCTATGTTCTTGAGAACTGGCATTTCCTCTTCTTTGTTCATCTGGTCACATTGCAGGAGGGGAGAGCTGTTTAAGCGCCCAACGCTGAGCGAGGCACTGAGGTGCTTGCTGCACAAGCAGAGTCCCATGTACCTGCTCCAGAGACTAGAGCCAAGAAGAGCTTACACTTCCCACAAACATATCCAGAAATAAGGCTTCAGGAAGGCCTACTTCTCCATGCTCCGAAGTTGTGTAGGAACCTTTTCTAGAAAAAGAGCTCCCAGTGACCTGCATTTTGACAATATGAGTGAGGCAGGCTCTTTCTTTCCTCTAACCAAGGGGATTCTGGCTGTCAAATACTTTTATGGAAAGGAACTAGCTCTGATTAAACTGAGACTTGCCAAGACTTGTACCCTACTCTCCCCGACTCAAAACACTATATTGTCACCTTGGCTTATAAGGCACCCAGTTTAAAAATATAGTAATCATAAAGCACCCAGTTTTCAACATGATTTAGTAGCTCAGGATTCTGTTTGTTTAATCATAAGTGGGTTTTGCATAATTAAGCTATAGGGCACCCAGTGAAAATTTGGCCCAGGAAGTTGCTCCATATTCTTTTGTGATGAATTGTACCCAAATGTGGCATAGGGTTACCCAGACTCCTTTAAGTCATGATCATTGAGTTTTCTAAGTAGCAACTTGGGGCTTTTCAGTGATGTAAGTAGCAAACATGAACCCTGGTAACAAAGCGGTGACATGTCACCGGCCTAAAAGCTGGTGCTGTAGCTATTTGCTGCTCACTCTGCAAAACTATGAGCATTGTTTTAACTGCAACAAAAACACGGTGAAAATAAAATCTGATAAAATAGCTCCAGGATGTCACAGGAGGAAAAGCACCTTCTGGGCTGGCGGGTCCTGGACTCTTGATCCAGTCGCAGTTTGAGTTGAGGAGGATGTAAGGGTTGGTACTATGTGCCTGAGGAAGACCTGTCTGTCTGTGGTTAATGATGATCCCAAGGGGGCTCCATTTGTCACAGTAGAATGAAGGGCTCCAAGCACAGAATCAAGTGATTTCTTGCCTGAGATGGCTGAATCTGTTCTTAAAATGCCATTGGATACCCAATTCTTTTTCTCCAGAAATTCTCCATCTTGGGCCTTCCCATTACTGCAAATCAAAAGGTAACCTCACCAGACTATCCTCCCCTCCTCTATCTTTGAGTTTCAGGAGGTCATCCTATGCCCTCATTCCCTAAGCCTAGGTTTGGTTCACCTAGGAGGCAGGGCCTGATTTCAGAGTAGGTCAGGCAGGCCTCTTTAATCAACCCCAGTTATCTGCTTTAAACATTGAAAAATTGGAAAGTTTCCACTTACTTTGGAGTTTTTGTGGTCTCTGTCAGTGCCTCAGAATAAAGCACTTAGCAATAGACAGTGTCTTGTGATCAACATGGTTCGGAATGGCTAGTACTTTGTAGACAGCATGAATAACTTTTACCAGTGCTTCAGCATTTCAGAGTACTTTGCAATCACTATTTACTCAGCCCTCTCACTGATAGGCTGTTTGGTCCTCATTTTACAGGAAGTTGATACAATGTAGGAAAAGCTGGGGTTCAGGAGACCTGGTCCTCTTCCCATTTCACCATACTCTGTCATCTAGAATTAATGACTTAATTTTGCCATCTGTCTGAGTTAGGGGTGGGAGAAGATGATTCTAGAGACTTCTCAGTTCGTTCTGGTTGTAGCAAGGTAATAATTCTCCTGTGGATTTTCCATAGTTACTATTTAATTTCCCTAATTCTAGAATCCCAAAGTTGGGGCTTAATTTGGATGTGTTTTGGAATTTCCATTATCCTATGATCTGGCCAATCTTGGGACCTTTCAAATCCTGATATATAAGTGGTTGACATTCAAGGAAAATGTCAGAGACATCCAGATGCATCCCATAGCTTGGAGAAAGGAAGGAGAGTGATCAGGCTAAGAATGAAAACAACTCCATCCATGGTGGTGATGGGGTGTCTTAGCTGCCTGGTTTTCCTCTCATTGGAGAAGCAGAAGAAACAGTATGTGGACATCTGCACTGAACTTTAAAAGAAATTATCTTGAGGATGAAGACTCATCAAACAGAGTTTTAAGATTTTAAGTCAGTTCTTTCCAAATCAGTAACGAAGTAGTCCGGCTAAAGCAGTTGCCAGTTTTGGGGTCATGAACCCTTTTTGGAAATCTTACAGAAACTATGGATATTTCTCTGCCAGAAAAACTACCCACATATTCACAAATTGGGATATACTTTTAGGGAGCTCCTATATGCCCTGAAGTTAGCAATCCCCTGATCTAAAGTGGTGAGTCAGCAGGGCTAGACCGAGAAGGTCAGGGCTAGACCCAGACTTCAAAGCCCATAATTTGCTGCCAAAATTTAACTAGTAACACAAAGTTTTTTTTTCTTTTTTCCCTCTGACCATCACCCTCTTCTTTCTCTATCCTCACACCTTTTGTCATCTCTTCTCGTGCCCCCTCAATGTCTCTCCCCACCTCCTGCGCATCTTGCACCGCAGATGTTCCAGCCTGGTTAAAAAGCCTCCGCCTTCACAAGTACGCTGCGCTGTTCTCCCAGATGACCTACGAGGAGATGATGGCCCTCACCGAGTGCCAACTGGAGGCTCAGGTACGTGCTCCAGGGACCGTCCCCTGAGGAGGTGCCCTGGGTGGAACTCGAAGTTCAAGTCCAAGACAGATCTTATTTGGACCCATTCCTATACCTTCCCGGTAGCTGTCTTCTTTGAGGAATTGCCAGGTTCTGGCCAGGGTTGCATGGTGAGTAAGGCGAGGGTCTTGCCTTCAGGGTCCAGTAGGAAATGGAAGACAAGCAGATAGCCACAGGGCAAATGAGGGTAAGATAGAGTATCATGAAAAAGGTATAACCTAGGTACACTCACTAAGTTCAAGGGTGCTAGGGAGGAATCGGTGGCATCTCCTAGAAGTGGAACATTTGACCAAGGTCTCAAAAGCGCCTGTGTCCTGCTTATGCTTTCCTTTCCTCCTTCCCTCTGTCCAACCCGGGTGTGTTTGGGAAATGGTAGAACGGTTGGTTGTCTGTTGTCCGGTCTGGTTACACATCAACTACGTTCTAGTAATTACTGAGCAGAAGCACCAGGTCACGCCTCAACACTTGTACAAAAGCATGTTCTGACTGGTCTTAGCTGAGATTGGAGTAAGCTGCACAATATTTTTTCCCTCTAACCACCTTCAATAACGCAGGACAGTTATTGAGATGGGATTCCCTCAGGTCTCAGATTTCATTTCCCTTCTGCGTGCCACAAAGGACAAAGCTCCTCCTCCCTTCTAAGGCATCTTTCCCCAAGTGCGGTTGCCAAAGGCCAGGCCAGTCAACAGAACCCCCGAAACTAAGCATGTTTCCTACCACGCTGTGCTCGAGTAAATAGATCTGACTGATGTCTTTGTTTCCCTTGTTTAAAATGCTATTTGCATGTTTTAAATTGACCTCGGTTTCCTTTGAGCAGTGACTTAAGAGAATTAATGGTCTGAACAGGCTAATAGTATTTCCCCTGCAGGAAGAGGAGATTGTGCCATTTGGGGCATAGCTGGTCTGAACACATACCTCCCAGCAGATCGCTGGACTCCCGGTACGCATCCAGTTCCCTCAGTTAACCTCTGCTGGCCTGGCTGGGTACCAGTATTGAGATGCAAGGCAAAACCCAAAGTCACTGCACATTCTCTGAGAATGAAAGGCACTCGTTTCAACTTCCTAATGCTTCTCCCTCTGCCTTTTCATCTCGGTTGCTCCTTGAGATCCCAGGAATTGATGAGAACTGCTTCTAAGAGCATTTTTTGTCTTTGGGTCATAGTTGAGAAAAAAAAATCTAAGTCATCAAAGTTGTTTGACTTCAGGAAAAACAAAACAAGAAATAATTGATGCAGAGGGCAATGCCAGAGGCCAGCACAAACTTTTCAGAGTGATTTCATTCACTCTAACCCAAAGTCAAGGCTAAACAGAAACATGTCCCCGGTGCTTCATCCTGAGAATGAGTTCAGTTGTCAGTTGACAACTTAATTTTCCTAAGTAAAGGAAATGTCGCTGGGGTTGCCATCCTTTCCTTTTTTAAGAGGAATGCTATGAAGAGTTGTAAGAAGTTTGTATTTTAGAGACCTCATTTCAGAAAGAACCTCCTATTTGGGAATTTGCAATATGCATAGTTAACAAGTGTTAAACTAAACCCTTCGGCTCATCGTTGCTGCACAATTAAGAAGATAAGACCCACCACCCTGTGAATCCTAATCATTTACCTGAAGTGAAGACTGAATTGTTGGTGTAAGTTTCCTGACAAAAACTGCCTGTGTGTTGTGACACCAGGAAAGACCTGTACTGGACTTCACATCTTCTCGAGATGGGAAGCATAGGAAAGATTAGAGGAAGCCATGAGTATCTCTATGGGGTTGGAACTCCAGGGAACCCTGGGGGGTGGGGGGGGGGAGCCTGGAAAAGAGAAGTGTGTGACTTAAAAATGATCTGTTAAGACTATGAAGATGCCCTGGCTGGTTTGGCTCAGTGGGTAGAGCGTCGGCTTGTGGACCGAAGGGTCCTGGGTTCGATTCTGGTCAAGGGCATGTACCTGGGTTGCAGGCTTCATCCCCAGCCTTAGGGCACATACGGGAGACAAACAATTGTTGTCTCTCTCATGTTGATGTTTCTCTCTCTCTATCTCTGCCCTTCCCTTCCACTCTTTCTAAAATTCAGTGGAAAAAATACCCTTAGGTGAGGATTAACAAAAAACAAACAAGCAGCCCTAGCTGATTTGGCTCAGTGGATAGAGCATCAGCCTGTGGACTGAAGGGTCCTGGGTTCAATTCCAGTCAAGGGCACATGCCCCGGTTGTGAGCTGGATCCCCAATAGGGGGCGTGCAGGTGGTAGCCAATCAATGATTCTCTCTCATCATTGATGTTTCAATCTCTCCCTCTCTGAAATCAATAAAAATATATTTTAAAACAAACAAAGAAGACTGTGAAGGAATTTCATGCGGGGTCGGGTAATTGGCTATTCCAGCTTTCTCTCCCTCTCCTGAAGGTACAGCAAAAGACACAGGCTTGGGTGGAGCCAGATGGAGTTAGACTATTAAGCAGGAAGAGGTTTCTAGCAATAGGTGCTAATGGGAGAGACAAGTAGAGATCTACTAGTCTGCAAACCTGTAGGAACAAAGCAAACAGTAAAGTACTAAATAGCCTCCCAGTCTCTAAGCTAATTCTTAAAAATGTTTTTTTAAATATCACTTTAATTTAATTGCAGAATGTTACCAAAGGTGCAAGGCACAAAATTGTCATCAGTATTCAGAAGCTCAAAGAAAGACAAAACCTCCTGAAGTCTTTGGAAAGGGTAAGTTATTCCCGGCCGAGGGGACGTTCCCACCTTCATCACAGGGAAATGGACCCGGAACTTTCCTCAGTTGGAAAGTGTCACTGGCAGACCTGATAGAGTGTGTCATGCTGTTTCCTTATCAAAGTTAGGGAAAATGGCATGATTTTGAAGCGAAGCCTCTTGGCTATTCATGCTTCCATGTAACCTGACTACTGAAATGTACTTGTTCCCGGGGTCCAGGCAGCCTGTAACTGGCCATTCCAGGCACAGAGGAAGTGCTGTCAGATGAATTCTTTGTGTACATTCCCCTCTGCCTTTTGTGCATGTGGAGAGATTAGACAAGAGTTCAGCCCACAATCAGAGGCTGAAATCCTGACAAAACAGTGCAGGGAGTGTGCAGATCTGCCTCATGCCTGCTCCCCCGCTGCCCCCCTCCCGCCCCAGGGAAGGACCTGGGTTTGAGGAAAGCTGCCCCAGAGGGGCCAACACCAACAGGTGTGCCCCAGGTCCCACTAGAGAGGGGATCAAAGTCACTTGGCAGACGGCAGGGCAGCAGCGCTGGCTCTCCAGAGAGTATTTCACACTTTCACTGAACAACAGAATAGGTCCTCATGACTCGGATAGGAACCATCTCAAAAATGCCAAATGCTGAAAAAGAGTTTATTCCAGTGTTAAAAGCAGTTATCAGCTGCTACTGTCCCTCTGTGTTTGCTGTCTAAACACATTCTCGTCCTATCTTTGTATCTAGACATCACTCTGGAAACGATGTCATTTTTAGGACTTGGTGACTTTATGATTTCATCTAAGGGCCAGAGGAGAGCAGGCCTGGTTCCACACACAGTGAGCTGTCTGCTCTGCCTCAGAGTCGCTATTCCATGCACTACTGTTGGGTGGCGGTGGGAGTTCAGTAGTTATCTGCTGCCTGCAGAGCTCCAGTGGTAACCTCGTTAGTTATCTCCCAGGCGCCTTTGGAAGGGAGCAAAGTAGAGGTAGGTAGGGCTAAAGCGAGGTTTGTGAGCACATACACATTTTAATGCAATGGAAGGTGTGTTTTCTTGACTTATTCACAGAATGTGTGTATACTTTTACATGCCGTATATAGTTATAGTTAATGCATAGCCCACACCATAGAAGGTAAGGTATATTTATAGAACATGCATGTATGCTTTCTAAGGAAGGTTGCTTTTAAAGCCTCTGGATGGATACACAGAGACTACTCACATGCACATCCAGGCCCGTTCACAATTAGCTCATCACGGATGACGGTGACCTGTGCAACTGACCTTGAGGTTATTGCTGCTGTTCAAACTTCTACGCTAACTGCTTTACTAAGCAGCTTGTCCACCGGAGTGATTGTTGCCATTTTTAACACAAGAAACCGTTCTCTTTTGGGAAGCATTGAAAAGGCCAGTTTTGGCCTTATCTGTTAGGAAGCACAGAGAACATTTTGTGTAGGGATTGCATTGCTAAGTGTTAACGGTGAAAGAGTGATTTACCCCCCTTGTTTCTGGAGCATCCCTCGGGAACTCATTCCTGTCCTGTCCCTGAGGAAACACACACAGAGTCAGAGAGGTGGAACTGCTGTGAGCTGTGCTCCCTGTGGCCTGGGGCCGAATCAGTGTGTGGAAGCCCCAGGGCAGCCAGGTAGCCCGTGCGGCCCTGACATGCCCCTGACTTCCCATCTAACCTTTGATGCATCAGTGATGTTTTCTGCCTCCCAGACTTCACACCTAGAATAATATTGACTCTGCAAAATGACTCTCCACTGGAATGGGAATGTCAAAAAGATGACAGGTGTGATACGGAGTCTGAGGGCAGCTACTGGGCAGGAGGAGAGCAATGCAGAGTTTATCTGGTTTGACTTCTGTGAAGAGGAAAGCTTGTGGGTCAGACCATCACGTTGAGCTCGCTTCAGAACATCCACGGTCAGCCACCTGCTTGTCTGTCCCCTCAGGAGCTCGTGGCCTGGGTGTGGAGGGGAACCCCAACTCAGCATCCATCAAGGACAGCCCCTGGCTCTGTTCTCTCTTCCCTGGGACCTGGGTCTCTCCTGCTCTTCAAGGGCTGTATCGTCCATAACCTATCGCCACTTGGGCCACCAGGACACCCTGAAACCAGCCATTTCTCTGGCCTTCCAGGCATCCTCAGCTGATTGTGCTGTTGGAAATGCTGTCCCCGTAGCCTGGCCTCCCACAGCATTCTTACCTCACAGAGACTCTGGGGATTTCTAAGGAGATCGTGGGACCCCGCCCGTGGCTAGTTCACAATCAGTAGTCCCTGCAGATGAGCTCTGTGTCCAGAGCCGCTCCACTCAGTTACTGAACACTTACTCAGCATCTGCCTTGGACTAGATTTACCCCGGCCACTGGAGGCGAATCCTGAGTAATACGCAGTTCCGGCCTTGGGGGCTCCACGCATAGCCAGAGCTCTCACACTCTACTGTGATCGGGGGCGTCGTCCCTGAGGCAGGTGGGGACGTCTTCCTGGACTGAACACACCTCTCTGCAGGGTGAGGAGAGGAACCTGAAAGGGGCCATGCTGGCTGGGAGACACATTAGGAGCCTACAGCCAGTCTCAGTGGGCCCTTGAGCCACAGCAGGGACCAGGGGGTGAAGGGTCAGAGGCCATTTAGCAGGAGTCCAAGCATTGGTGGGGGCCTTGGACCTGGATGCCGTGCCATTTGGGACAAAAAAAACATAGGAGGGTGCCCAGTGTGGGGAAATGGAGCTCAGTTTGACGGATCGAGTCTGAGGTGCCTGTGGAATACCAAGGCAGAAAGGCAGGTCCATGGCCAGAAGAACAGTCTAGAGTCCACAAGGGTTTGAAAGACTCAGTTGTGGGTCATCTGTGTATAAATGGTAGTTGATACCCTCAAATGTGTGTTGAGTGTTAAGAGCTGAAGACAGGCCCTGAGAAGTCACAGGAGGTTTGGAGGAACCAGACACTGGCTGAGCCTGCCCCAAGGGTCAGAGAGAGTCTGAAGGAGGGAGTCTCATCGGGCACCATGCATGTGTCACATATGATGAGGCTTGAACTCTCCCCCTATAATTGGTTATCAGGAGGTCACCCATAGCCAAGATGAGAAGGGTTTCAAGGAGTTGGGAAGAGACCAAAGTGAAACCCATGAACTGGGGAGTGAAGGTGGGTGATGAGGACATGTAGACTTCTCAAGATATTTGGTGGAAAAGGGAAAAGATTAGAATGGTCATTGAGGCAGATTTTTTTTTTAACATTTACCTTTAATAATGAAATGTTTATTCACCATCCTTTTCAGCTGACTCCCAAACTGTGAAGCTCAATCAGACATACTGTGAGCCCGGGACCCTGGGATGGAGAAAGGACACACACACACACACACACACACACACACACACCTACACCTCTTCCTTGTTCCCACAACCCCCTGCCCTGGCAGTACACTCACACCGTATGGGTCCCAACAACTGTAAGCTAGGTCAAGGATTCAGCCATATTTGTTTCTAGATCCCCTATACCTAACAGTGCCTGACTCCAGGTAGGGCTCAGCTGATGCTTGGTGAATGAAAAGGAGAGAGGATGGATTTAAGTAGATGCAGGAGTCCTGTTTATGGTATGGAAATCCAGTTCTTCTCACAGAAAGACAAGGATGGAGCCACGGACAGTTGCGTACGTGTCAGGGACACTGGCTGCTGAAGCTCTCTCCCATATGATTTGCATCTCATTGCAGTTCAATGCCCTGGGAAAGGCTTGTCTAGTCTTCCTCAAAGACCTAAAAGAGCCAGGCCAGGAAGGCTGGGACGGTCTGAAAGTAGCTTCCTTCCAGCTGGTCCACCTTCCAGCTGGCGGCCGTGCCATGGTAGACCAGCCTTCCTATTACCTGTTCTCACGTGAGCTCCTCAGCTTAGCACATTAGTCAACACGCAGCTTCATTTTTGCTTTTTTGTTTATAATACAGGATTCCATTTATGGCATGAGGGTCAATAGAGACTTGGGTTGAATCTCTGTTTTTATCAACATGGAGAATTAATCCCAACAGCTAGTTGAGGGCACTGGATTGAATCCCGTTTGGGTGGTTTCCTACTTTCCTGCTCCCCTTGGGCACTCTGTGTTGAGTTCAGGAATTCATTTTGAGGAGTCAGCATGTGACCTGATGGTCTTGGTGCCACACCGTGGAAGCTGATGGTTAAGTGTTATCTTTGAGTCAGTGGCTTGAAGTCTGTGGGGGAAACCAAACCAAACCCTGCATGATTCCTGTAAATTATATTTCCCGAAAGTGTCCAACATTACTCATTATGTGTATAGTTTCCCTTTTGGTGTGGTTGTCTCCAATAGAATAAGAGAAGATTTGAACTTGGGGCAAGTACATGTTTCCTGTTTGAAGGAGTTCAGCTCTTAGCATAACCCATAATCTCCTTCCCCGTCACTGAGTAACTACAGAGACCTTCTTGCCACATGACGAGAGCAAACGAAGGTCTGGTAGCAGTTGACGATGTCACAGGCCTGCATTTGCTCGCCTCTGTGGTAGGTGCCATGTGGGATGGCACGACAAGATGCATGCGGTGCCCTTCTGCTTTCATGGGAAGCCTCCCTACTTTTCTGTCCTGCCCCTTCCCCACCTCTGTCAGGAGCTGGACAAGGAAGTCGGAATCCAGGTGCTGGTTGAGTGGTTGGCAGGAACTGGAGGACCTAGAGGCAGGAGTCCAGTTGGCACATAGTTGGGTCAGAAGGGGCAGCAGGTGCTCTCCTGGCCTGGGTCAGCTAGCTCGCCTCCATGTGCCTTGCCCCGAACCAGATTACCAAGTCCAAAGTCAGAGAGCCAGTCACGTGACAGGATCAGATTCTGGGAAAAGGCTGGTCCAGTCTGGGCAGCAGGAAAACTGGGAAAGATCAGGAGCACCCCAACTCACACATCAGGCTTGCCAGCACAGGCTGCGGCTGGTCTCGCTAGGCCGGACAGTGGTCCTGGCCAGGACTGAGACAATTCTGGTGGCTACTTAGCATTTCCCTTCCCTCAGGAACCCCGGGTGCCAACTAGGCGAAAGCACAATTCAGGCTCTGCTCCCAACTCCCCGAACAAAGCGGGTTCCCGCCAATGACAGAGCAGGGCTCTTGGTGTTTTGCTGCCCAGAATTGGAACACATCTGTCCAGGGCTGCTGTCCTCGGGTCTCCTCTCACTAACTGATTGATTAGAAAGTCTGGGTGCAGAAATGATCACATTCCATATGCTTGTGTTCCGTGACATCATCAAGCAATTTTTCTTGGCAAGAGAGGATCCCAGGAATGGATTGGTACTTGTGCTTTTAAAATTGTCCTTGCTATTCTGGGCTCTCGGAAGATTGAATCTTCATTAGTAATCAGGGCACTGCTTGTCAGTGTCCTTCCGGGATCCCAGGGCATAAGCACTGGGCAGCGCTGGGGCAGAGGCTGGGCCCACCCACTATGCCAGGGAAGAGCCCTGCCCCGACCTCCAGCCACGAGTGTCTGAGCCTGTTCAGCACCTCTGGGAGCACTTGGCACGTGGGTAAATGTGTCAGAATCAACTTCTATTCCTTTTCCTAATAAATAATCCCCAGTATATCAAACTGCGTGTGCACAAGGATCTAATTTATCAAGTCATATATATACACACACATATATTATATGCAATTTTATACATTATACTACACATATATCTTACATGTCTTTCTCTCTCAAATGATACTTCTAAAACATGTTGTGCCCCTGCGACAAACCTTCCCTCATTTCCCCTTCATTTAGAAGAAATTCTTGCATCCCTGTCCCAGCCTGCAGGCCTCTACACTCAGCCCCCTGTGGCTCCTCGGAACTCATTTCCCACCCTCCTCCCCTCACCCACTCTGCTTCACGTGACACAAAAATAGATCTGCAGCTTTACAAATACTAATATCATTACAACCACCTGATGAGGCAGGTACTATTGTTATCTTCATTTTATACACAGGGAAACAGGCACAGAGAGGTTAAGTCATTTACCCAAGGTCACACAGCAGTGTCAGAATTTGAAACCACACATCCATCCTAGAATCTGTGCTTTAAACCACTACCCTGTGTTTCCTGTATCATGGGCTGAGTGAAGGTTCCTTCACTTAAAACCACTGATACACAAGACGGGAAGCCACCATATGACCCAGCTTTGTTATACAGCTTCTGAAGTACCGTATGTGAGTGTAAGCTATAGAAATGCATCTTCTAGAAAGGCCCTGAAGAAGCCAGGGAAGGAAATGGACTAAAATCATTTTAGTGATCATCTCTAGATAGTGAGGTTTTCAGGTGACGTACATTTTCCTCACTGTACATATCTGTATATTCCAAGTTTCCTACCTGGGCTAATATTAGATAAAATGGAAATGGTTGCTTTTCCAATGAATGTATGATGAAGGGCCAACAGCTGCGCGTCCTGTCTGGGAAGAGCTCCGGGAGGGCAGGGGCAGCATTGGAGGTGGGGCACCCCGTCCCTGACCCTAATGATGGTCTTCTCCCTCTGACCGTCTAGGACATCATCGAGGGGGGCAGCCTTCGCATCCCACTCCAGGAGCTGCACCAGATGATCCTGACTCCTATCAAGGCCTACAGCTCCCCGAGCGCCACCCCCGAGGCCCGCCGCCGGGAGCCCCAAGCCCCACACCCGGCTTCGCTCATGGGCCCCGAGAGCCCCAGCCCCGACTGCAAAGACAGTGCCTCGGCCCCGGGTGCCACAGCCACCACCTCAGCCGGCCCCAGCGGCGGGCTCCAGCCACACCATCTGAGCAGCTGCGACGGGGAGCTGGCTGTCGCCCCCCTGCCGGAGGGGGATCTCCCCGGGCAGTTCACGCGTGTCATGGGGAAAGGTAGAGCCTGAATTCCCCCAATCCCTCTTCTCTTCTCTCAACACCGCTAACCAGAACTACCGGTCCCCGAGGGGCTTCCCCTGGGGGCTGGAGCAGCTGCCTGCCAAGGTCGATGTCATGAGCCCATTGTACAGATGAGGAAAGTGTGGCTCTGAGAGGTTGAGGAATTTGGATCTGAACTCAGATCTCAGATCTGACCTCCAAAGGTCCCTTCCTTAACCTTGTATCCTTCCTCTCCCACTCCAGACCAGGGCTGCTGGCCCTCCTGGCAGTCACTGGGCCTTGGACCCTCAGGCTGAAGCAGCGATTTCAATCTTTTCATCGCAGGGCACACATTAATTACCAAAATCTGCAGCGCACCCAAAATATCTGTTCTACCGATATGATGAAAAATGGGTATAATTTTTATCTGTTCATACCGGGCAGCTATTGTGTTGGCTGTTGTCATTTTTTCCTTCGGCAATCTTAGGAGAAAGGAGGTCAGTGCCCCTGACTTAAGTGGTCAGGTACTGCATGTTTTATAGATTCTCGCAGCACACCAGTGTGCCTCGGCGCACGTGTTGAAAATCATTGGGCTAAAGTCAGCCCTGTCATCAGATCATGCCGTGTGTGTGTGTGTGTGTGTGTGTCTGTGTGTCTGGAGGGCAGGACAGAATTCACACGTGGTCCTCTGGGTAAGAGCACCCTTTCTAACTGGACTGCCGTGGATAAGCTCCTTGTGCACATATCCTGGTCCAATGCCAGAATAATTTGTGCTTGATAAGTATGTCACAAGAAAACTTGATTATTTGAAAAATGTAGTGAATATCGGTACTTTACTTTCAGGAAGGGGAGATAATTTTTTCCTTCTTTATTGTCCAATATTTTAGACCATTTTAAAGAACAAAGTTTCTACCAACAGATATGGACACTTGAGTCTTTTTTAAATTTATATATATCTTTTTGTTGATTTCCAAGAGGAAGGGAGGAGAGATAGAAACATCAATGATGAGAGAGAATCATTGATTGGCTGCCTCTTACACGCCCCCTACTAGGGGTCAAGTCTACAACCAGGGCCTGTGCCCTGACTGGGAATTGAGCTGTAACCTCCTGGTTCATCGGTCAATGCTCAACCACTGAGCTACACTCACCGGGCTAACACCTGAGTCTTATAGTTGCACTGAGAAACTTCCCATGGTCCATGTCCTACAAAAAACTTAAATCCTTAAAAATCTGATTCAGAGGAGATGACCTGTGGCATCCCTTGGGGCTGAAATGCCAGTAGCTTGGTCTCCTCCCCTCGCCTCCTTGCTCTCCTCCACCCCCTAGTGGGCACTTAGAGCAGATGACCAGAGCCCATGGATGAAGGGCCATGTAGTGTGGGGGTGGTTACCTGAGTGTGAGGTGCCTCACCCCACCTCCCCTGTGGCGAGAAGTACGGGGGGCTCTGCCCTCAGGAGGCCTGCACTTCTCTGGCCCAGCTTGTTTATAAAGTTTAAATGCTTTTAAATAAATTATAAAATGATTGCAAGGTCAACATAAAAACTCAGAACGACACAAAATGGGAGACAGGGAAAACTAGCCCTCCCACCCCAAGCCTCAGAGGCAACCACTCTAAACAGATTTGGAATATGCCCTGGGTAACTTTATACAAGCACGTGAGTGTCCTTTTTACACACAAACGGGTCTTGTTTACCTGTTTCTCTGCAGTTTTTTTTTTACATTATATAGTTTTAACGGTTCTATCAATACAGTAGCACCAACTCTTTTTTAATATTCCTATCCATGCAGTAGCACCAACTCATTCTTGCATACTTTCCCACAGTATGTGTAGACCATAATTGATTTAATGGCCCCAGTGAATGGAACTCAAGTGGTTTCCAAGTTTCTGTTGTTACAAACAACGCTATAATCTTGCACAAGATTAAGGAGAGGAAAAAAAAAGTCAGAATGCCCAGGTTTCAAGTGTGATTTACTGAGTGCCAGGCATTTTCACTTCTAATTGATGTCTTTTGTCATCAGTGAGAAGTGAGCAGAGTGGGCTCTACTAATGTGGCCATGAAACCCAGCAGCGTGTGTCCTCAGCCCACAGACTCACTCTGCTGTCAGCCCCAGCAGTTACCTGAGCGTGTAGGTGAACCTGTGTGTGTGTAAGGGCGTGGATCACTTTGAGAAATAACCCTCCAGTGACTGAGCGTCAGGCTTCCTGCTCGTGTGTGCACCCACGCACCACGCGTCCCAAAGGATGTGCCAGCTTGACTCCTCCAAATGAGGTGCGCGGTTCATTCATAAAAATCACGGAGACTGCTCTCTAATAACACCGATGGCCTCTGCTGCCTTTGAACTCCCTCTCAAAAGGAGCCTCTTGCAAAGACAGAGCTCGGGACACTGCTGTGTTCTTCCTCCCCCAGCGTGTCTGTGTCAGGCTGGGTTGCGGAAGGCTTAATATAGAATGGTATGCCTGGAATTAATCGACGGGGCTCCTCGAGGCAAGGCTCCCGTGGTGCCCGAGCCTTTGACTTCAGTGGAATGAGGAGCCTCCTGGCCTTTTTTGTGAGCCTTATGTACAGCCACAGGCACACAGACCACTCACAATACTGGTCCTGAAAGGAAATGAGAAACAGATCTCAAGGTTAGGAGATGGGTGTGCATTTTTCTAATTCATCTTTTTTTTTTTTTTAATTCACAGTGTGCACACAGCTCTTGGTCTCCAGACCCGATGAGGAGAATATAAGTTCCTATTTACAGCTCATAGACAAGTGTCTAATTCATGAGGTGAGTCACGATAGGTTTCACAACGCCTTTTTCCTCATTGCTTAGAAATGGCTCCTGTGGCGGCATCATTTGAATCAGCAACAACTTGTTTCTGTGGGGTAGATGTCCGAATAGCTCGGGCAGAACTCGGCGTGGTGGCCTCGAGCCTAAACAGAGCTTGTGTAATTTTTCTAATTCATCTCTCTGATGTGAGGGTGAGCTCTGATGTGAGGGTGCATGCCTGAGAGGAACTTCTGACTGCGGAAGAATCTCTGAGTGACCAAGCCTGGGAGGTGTGCACACAGTCCTGCCACCCAGCCCCGGATGTTCTCAACTCTTTCAATGCTTTGCCTTGAAACATTTTGCCTTTGGGCTCAAGGAACTTTGAGGGAGGGGTGGAGAAAGAGTCTACAGCAGAAACAATGTGTGTGGAGTGGGGCGGGGGTGTTGTTTTTAGCCGTGTGTCCTTTGAAGAAGGACCGAGGCAGGCTGGAGCTGTGCCTACCAGGCTCTCAAAGCTAGCACAGGCTCCACCACGGGGCGGGGAGGTGCTGGCCATGGCTGCCCTGAGCGACATGTGGGGACAGGCCGTTGTGCCTCAAATCCAAGACTCCAGTGGCTACTTTGGTGGCTCTCCTCCAGAGAGTTCCAGTGACAAAGTCTAGGCCTCAGGAAACTTAGGACCGGATAACCCTAGAGCCGTGGTCGGCAAACCGCAGCTCGCGAGCCACATGCGGCTCTTGGGCCCCTTGAGTGTGGCTTTTCCACAAAATACCACGTGCAGGCGCGCACGTACAGTGCGATTGAAACTTCGTGGCTCATGCGCAGAAGTCGGCATTTTGTGGAAGAGCCACACTCAAGGGGCCAAAGAGCCACGTGTGGCTCACGAGCCGCGGTTTGCCGAGCCGCAGTTTGCCGACTGCTGACCTAGAGCATTGAGGTTTTTTTGTGGGGTTTTGACATGAGAATAAGATGGTAAAGGCCTCCAAGTCTCCTCACCTTTGCTGTGGTGGCGGCCAGAACCCTGGAAGTCCAGGGGCCCCCAGTTTGGGGAGATGGCCAGTGCAGAGGCCTGGCCCCTCACCCACCCTCCCGGTGTGGTCGGTTCCCTGGGGCCCCCACCTCCGTGCTCTGACTCCGCCCATCCTCCTGTGCAGGTGTCCAATCTCCTGCTGGGTTTCCACTCCAGCCACGCCTCCCCCACTCCCTAAAATCTCATTTTTGCAAGTTTCTCTCACAGAGGCATCCATTCTTTTATGTGCCTCTCCCCAACTCCCCCCACCCCGCCCCCACTCAACCTTTTCTATTTCCAGTCCTGGCCCTGCACTTGTTTTGACCAGCAAAAAGCCACAGACAGAAGACAAGAGCACAGTGACGAATTTCTGAACTCATTCATTCCATAGATATTTATCACTCCCCCTGGCCCTGGCCCTGGCCAGGCAGCTTATGGTGAGGGTAGTGGGTGAGACGCAGGGAAAACAGGTTGTCACGTACATGACGATAAAGCCTCTGAGAAGCCCTCCCGGGGTGCCCCAGAGCCCAGATGAGGAGTGGCAGGCACCTGCCCGAGCCGGAAGCAGGTGTTCCTCAGAGGGGCTGCCCCCAAAAGGCAGGCAGAGTCTCATGGTTCGGGGAGGCAGGAGGCAGGAGAGTGATCCAGGCAGACGGGGCAGCGTTTTGGGGGGTTCTGTGTCTTGTTAGGGAAGACCATTGGGGAGGATTCGAGAAGGGAGCCTTTAAACTTCTGAGAAAGCAAAGCCAATCCCTGCTTCCTCTCTCGCGTTCACTCTGAGCAGTGAGGACAGGTTGCCTCCACCAGCCGGCTGAGCCCAGGAGGCAGAATGACCGCCCTCCAGCAGCCTCTGCTTCCTACTTGGACACACCAGCCCCACTGCTGTGGCCTGAGGCTTATCGCTGGCCTGCCTCGGGTGCGCCCTCCCTGGGCACCGTGGCTCTTCTCTTTGCTTCTTTCCACTTTTTCTCCCCGATGCCCAGTGACCAATGCAAAGATGACACTGAGGACTCCTCTGCCGGCAGGAGGCCCAGGCAAGGGGCCTCTCGGTACCGGGAGTCACGGCAGATAGGAGCTCAGGCCGAGTCCGCTTGCCTGAATTCAGGGCGGGATGGAAGGCCTGCGCTCTGCTTTGGAAGGGAAAATGTTGTGCAAGCCTTTTTATTATTTTAGTTGAGAAGGAGGAAACGGGTCTGAAAAATTTTCCACAGGCCTGGGTTGTGTGTGAGAGAACGCACCCTCCCTGCGGCCGGAGGGGAGGTCAGCCTGCCTTCCTCAGCCCCCAGCGCTGCTGCTGCTGCTGCTGCTGCTGCTCCGCCCACTGCAAGGGGAGGTGTGGTCACTTCCAAGGCACCTTCCTTCCCGGGGATGAAGGACCGACTCCCTAGAGAAAGAAAAGGGAGGATAGGAAAGTTCCGGATTCTGTATCTGGGACCAACCTCTTCCTCATGGATTGTAATCCCAGGCATATTGCCTGCTTGCGGTCTTGACAAGGTTCTGGGAATCTGAGTGCTTGTCCCCTTAATGAGGCTTTTAATCCAGCCACCAAAGCTGCAGGACACATCTTCCTCCAGACAGACGGATTGGTCTGGGCCTGACAGGGACAGAAGACGGAGCAGTGGCTGGCCGGCTGTGTCTGGGCAGCCTGCAGTGTGGAATCTTCCTTCCCCTCCAGCCCAGGGTGGACGAGGCTGGGGTGTGGTCCCAGCCGTCCCAGCCGATGGCGGGGCACAGGAACCAGCCCTCAAAAACCACTGGGAGCCCTTCATGGCCCAGCGCTCCTGCTCCCAGCTGCCCCTCCCAGGACTGAGAACCGGCCTCCACACTCACTCGCACTGCTGGGGGCTCGCTCCTGTCTGCGCCCTGGCACTAAATGAGCCTGAGGCCCAGGTGCGGAGTGAGCGAGCTGACCTCTCTGTGGAGGTGCCTACATGTCCTTCTTTTCAGAGGCTCTTTGCCCCCGTGGCCGAGGTCATGTGTGAACTGGTGTCCTTGGAAACCCTTTATTTTATTTTATTTTTTTAAATATTTTATTGAGTTTTTACAGAGAGATAGAGAGTTAGAAACATCGATAGAGAGAAACATCGACCAGCTGCCTCCTGCACACTCCCCACTGGGGATGTGCCCGCAACCCAGGTACATGCCCTTGACCGGAATCGAACCTGGGACCTTTCAGTCCGCAGGCCGACGCTCTATCCTGTGAGCCAAACCGGTTTCGGCCTTGGAAACCCTTTAAATGCACATCTATCCAGTGAACCATTAACTCCTTTGTCACTTGAAATTCAGGCTTGTCCTCCGGTCTGGCTCCAGACCAGCTCAGGACTCTAGTTTTGAGATCTTGAAGTCATTTGTTGGGGCTAAAGGTGGCGGTTGAACACCAACTGTGACAAACACGCACATGCCACCACCCAGGGGCTGGTCCACGCAACTGAAAATAGCCGGTTAGAGTATCTGTGAGTGGCGTGGGTTGAATCATTACTAAGAGCCAGGCATGTTCTTAAGTATTCTGCGTGCTTTTCCTGTGTTACCTCATTTAGTCCTTACAGCGTCCATTAGAGGGAGACATTATCACCCTCAGCTTTTAGAAGGAGCAGAGTCTCAGGTGGAGGGATTTGCATAAGGGAGTGTGGGGATTCGCACCCTCCCGTGTGCGTCCAGGGCTCTCCGCTGACCCACTGGCGGGGCTCCTCAACTCATCTCGACCAGGGTGCCTGCATCTTGTGTCCTCACTTAGCATCTGGCTGAATGAGCCCATCAAAAGCAGAATCTATCCATCCCTTTGTGAGTCCAGCAGATGTGTCTGCCTGTCGCAGTTTTCAGAGGTCCTCGCGTGTAGTTGGACACTCACTGAGAGGGACCACGGAGGAGAACCAGGTCCTCGCCTTTCAGCCATGAGACCGTCTGCCACTCACCTGAGTGGGGGGTCTGCACCTCTTTCTCTAATGGGGCACTGGGTCCCTTGGTTGGTAGCCCTCTTTGATGCCTACCCTTAATGGTGTCTGGCTAAGGTCACCCAGGGGGAAGCAGTTTGTAAGTCAGTAACTTTTCTGCAATATGACTGATATCTTTTTGCTTTTGTTCACATAGCTCTCTTGTGTTTAGGTCCTTAAAGATTAAATGTCATCAGAAGAAAATTGAGCTGTCTTTCTGTTTTTCCCCCTCTGTTTCAGAAATCTGTTTCCTTCATGGAAAATAATCATGTACTCTGTTATTCTAAGTAATAGCTTATTGCTTCTTAAATTTCATGCCTTATTGACAAAACTACCTAGGCGTGTTATCTCCATCATGGTTAATGCTGATCTGTCAAACCCGATGATTTCCACAGCGTGCGGACCACAGTTCTAGATACTTGACAGGATTCCTGAATTGTGTGTGTGGTCCTCATCATCTCGAGCACTCCACGTCCAAGTGCTGCCTGCAGCAGAATTACCAGGGCAGTAGTCAGCAAACCGCGACTCGCGAGCCACATGCGGCTCTTTGGCCCCGTGAGTGTGGCTCTTCCACAAAATAACACATGTGGGCGCGCATGTACAGTGTGACTGAAACTTCGTGGCCCATGTGCAGAAGTCGGTATTTTGTGGAAGAGCCACACTCAAGGGGCCAAA